AGTTCGTGCACCGACTCCCCCCTGCAGGACGTCGCCGCTGCGTTCGCGCCCGCGTGCTCACCAGACAAAAGGAGTCAGGAGGGGGAAAATTTATGTTTCGGGCCAGCCTCAGACGCTTCCAAGGTCAACGGGCCTTCCACGCGGCTAACAGGAGCGCCAGCATGGCGCGGCCCCCCTGACTCTTTTTCTGGCACTACCGCGGGCATCCGTCGCACCCCCCCGACCGAGCTCGGCAGCGACGTCCGCTGACAACGCGTTGAAAGTAGACATGACTACAAAGCGATGTTTGTCGGCTTTTCCTCCAAGTGGGTCACCACTCGAACGCGAGTGTGGAAATATTGCATGCGCGCTGGACAGCGCGTTGCATCGATAGGCCCGCGAGTGCATGGGTGGCCAACTTCTGCCTCGAACTGCATGCGCACGAACGCAGATGGCACGAACATGTGCCATTCATTTCGGCCATCCGCCGGCATAAAGCCCAAGCCCTCACCGCATTGAACCAACGCTCTCCCTGGGCATCTCTCAGCGCAGCCCTGAAGCGTTTCGAGTTGGCCGGGATCACGGGGGCCCATTTTCTGGTTGGCTTTGTCGCGTGCTCTGAGAACGTACAAGAACTATATGTTAACATGTTTAAGCCCTCGGAAACGACATGCATCTAGGACCTGCGGGCCGCAATTGCATGAGGCAACGCAAGGCGCAGCGCTCGTGGGGCATGCGAACAAGCTCTGCTGAAGAGCCCGACGCGCATTCACAATATCATGATCGCAGGTGCAACGGAGCATTCGCGCTCGGCAATGCAGTCGCGAGAAGAACAACGAGGGTCTCGCGGAGCCTCCTTCAAGACGGAGGAATACACATGCATCACAGCCGTGTAGATTTTCATCAGCTCAGCAGCGTGCAATTGTGGCCACGTGCCCGCCCGGCGAAGACCTCGCGTAAACGCCGCCCCTCCGGCACAACGCATGCCGTTTTTCCACTTAGACAGAGCTCCGTTGCAGCGCGGTGTAGCGAAATTGTTGGACAACGCCCCTCAGAACACCGATATTGGCCGCGATCTCGGGGCGCATTGAATCCGCGCAACAAGCAAGCGCGCCAACATGTTTACACTGCGCCGCGGCGACCAGCTGGCGCTGCACGACGCGAGCGTCAAAGTGGATGACGCCCCCGCGGTCAGCGAAACACTGCCCCTGAGCCTCAGCGGGCCCTGGGCGCGCGAATCTGATCAGCACCTGTGCCTTACCTCGTTCAAAGTTAATGATTAACCCGCGCGTGGAGAGAACATCTTCGAAAATTGCCGCGCCCATTGTAGTTTTAGCAGCCATCTCACGCGCCTGACCGAACAATGGCTGCACAACATCGCCCATGTACCCTGCTGCGCCAAAATGCACTGATTCCTGGCGCCCCTCGCCCTCCGGCTCAGCGCCGAAACCGGCGATGAACTGTTCAGCGGGGAATTTGGATCGCAACCCTGCAGCTGCGAGGCGAAAGCCCACGGCGTGGATCACGCGGCCGATGGCGAAGAGGAAGACAGAGTCCCCAAGAACATGGCCTGATAGACTCCCAGACTCAGTCTGGACGCAACCCGTAACACCTTCCATCGCAAACCAGGATTGCCTGTGCAATTTGCTCGGCATCTTCAGATAATGATTCGTGCCTCCGCTCTCGGTCGAATGCTCATAGGCACCGAGGCCCTCGCCGATTTCCGCGGCGTCCTCGGCAGAAAACCCGGCGGCCAACAAGCGCGCAATAAATGCGCCCACGGACGCCGGCGGCGCAGCAAAAGCAATAATCCTCGCGATGATAGCACGTGCAGTCTGCAAATCGACAAACGAAGCGCCGAAGGACAGCTTCTTAGCGCGAGCAACGTCCATGCGCGCAAACATACGCAGATGGGCGAACTCAGCGGACCCTCCGCCGGGCCCGCCACCAATCTGCAAGGCAAAGCTGGTCGCGGCAAGAGCCGGCCGGCATCCCGCGGGACCGCATGTGGAAGGACAGCGACTTCAACGCAGCCCCACAAATCGTCACGTCCCTGTAAGACGGGATTTCTGTCATTGTCCCCTTGCCTCTGTCAACCTCGAACAAATGCCCCCTTTTCCATTGCAATGGCGGCCGCAAGGACACAACTGACTTAAACGTGAGCGGGTGGAAGAACCTGGCACATTCACGAGGGGTTGCCTCGAACAATTCAGACCCGCTGCGATCTTCGGACATCCCGACCAATGGCCTCGCGCGCGCAGACATGCATGCGAAATCCGACAACTCGGGGCAAGACCAACGTCGATCGCATCCTCAGAAAGAGCCGCATCAACGAGATGATCGGCCCTATCCTTCTCCACCAAATAGCACATCGGAGTGTTCGTTCCTTGCAAAAACTTGGCACAATGTTCGACTATCTCGCGCTTTGCATCACAGGCTGGCAGTGTGACTGTGCCGTCTGCCTTCTTCGCACCTGCTGCCGGATGCCGGGGTGGCTTGCATAGAAGCTGTAGCACGTTGAACATGCGCCGCATCGACGCGCGCGCTCTCCAGCTCAAGCCGCGTCCGCTCAGCAAAATCGTCAGCATCCTTGTCTCGCGCGTGCCGGATTTCGACCGAAACTTCGTCGATGGCCGCGCCGCAAAGACTTCTGTTGAGACATCGCAAAATGAATATCTGCAGTCCACCGACTCGGACGGCGCCCACCCCGCCGCTGCGGCCCAGGCCCGGAACGCGGCATGGCGCGCAGCCTTGCCGAGCAGACGCGCAATGTCCTGCCGAAGCGACCGAAAACGTTTCTTGAGCACGCCTCTCCGCAAAACGAGGTCCAACGTGCCCAGACGCAGTGCCGCGATGCTTTTCGCGCGCTTGGGCTCGGGGATATCATGCGCAGCCGCGCCTTGAATTTGAGACTGCCTGATATAGCCATGCGACGTGGCGTCAACATTGAACGGGAACGGCGGCAACTCAGCGAGCAGCTGCCTGAAATGACGTGCTTTAGCTGGGTCGTCTGGGCCGCGCCCGTCGTGCAAAGCCCGTCAGCGCCGCGCCATGGAGCGCGAGAAATTTGATTGCATTTTGACGCGAGTACAGATCATGAGGTGATCGTCGCGCGCATTGTTCGCGCCTTCACATCATCCAGAGCATGCGAGCCTTCAACGCAGTCAACATTGGAAGACAGCAAAACGTAGTCATTCATGGTGGCGCAACCATGTCCAATATATGTGTGCTGGGCCGCTCACCCTGCCCACATTCCTGGGCCGACAGCGGGACTCCACAACCCGCACTCAAGCATCTGCGTTTCAAACAAAGGCGCGCTGGCAGCATTTGACAGCAACGGGTCCGTGTTACCACCCACGAGTGGTTTCAAGGACCACGCCTCTGGAACAGCGATGCTCGACTCAATCAGTACTATGGCTGGGAGCCCCCGCAGCGTTTTTGACAGCAGCGTTTCGGCCGTCCCCCACCACGATCAACACTCTGGATGCCCCTAGTACTGCGCACGCAACGAGACAGCGACATATCGGCGCACAGAGGTAGAAACTACTACAACCAGCGCCCTCGGATCAACATGGCGAATAACCACGTCGCCAATTCGAATATACACTTTGCGTTTTCCATGGGAACATCACGGCCGAGATGCAGACGAAGCAATGCAGCAACCTAGGGAGCCATACACATTCGATACGCCGGCGTTCTGAATCACAATGGACATGTTTCCGCTCATGTTGTCCTCGACCAGTCTTCGCCCCGTCGTTTTGCTGCGGGACTCCTGGAAAACCGCGACGTGAAAATTACTATGCTCAAGCTACGCTACAGCAACCTCAAATGTTGCCTTTGCCCTGAAGGTCAATGCGTTGTGACCGAAGAGACGCAGCGCGCGCGTTGTGATCGACTCTGTGTCCGCCTGCGGGCTGCAACCCGACTCAATCCGCTCTGCAATCACAGCTGCCAGCAAACCCTGTCAATGGTGATGTTCGCCAGACTCATGGTTCCACCCTCGAGCTACTGTGGGAGGTTCCCCCCTTTGTTGGGCGCGCGGCCCCCCGGGGAAGAGCCAATCCACATCATGTTTGCTAGGGTTGACTGGGAATTCGAAGTCCGCGAAAACAACATCGCAACGCGTGCCTAAGTGAGCGGACCCATGACCTGCTGCATCGCACAACTTGTCCGCAAGCTGGTTCCAAGGATGGCCACAATGAGAGTGCATGCGTGCGCGCGTGCTCTATTTCAACAAGGCTACACAAGAGTAAAAACAGACCGCGGGCAACTGAACACGTATTCTGTTGCACGGAGGCTCTGGCGAATCGTGAGGCGATGTCGGCAACTGCCATGTTGTCTGAAAAGATTATGACAGTCACGTGTCCGAAAGACTTCTCTAGACCGAAGCGCCCAAAAGAAAGCCCATCCCATGGCAGAGGCTTCCGCTGCAAAAAGACATCGAGGCGTCGTCCGGCACCGCTCAGACAATGTGGGGATGGCTGCTGCTATCAACAACAACTTTTCCACACACGGATCCGATATACATCATGGTGCCGCCCAGCCCCTCGCCTAGAACACAAAACCCCATGTCGGAACAGGAGATGTTTCAGAAGAGACGCGAGCGCTGTTTTGGGATCCCCCTCCAGACCCATCCAAATCAATATGAATGGATCGCACGTAGGTTCTGGGCGAGTAGCACAATGTAATCGCAAGCTCTGCGGCTGTAGTCTCCAAGAGTGGCACGCCACCTACGGATTGCGACAGTGAGTGGACGAAAGGGCGAAGTAAAGACATCACAGCACTACGATCAAAACCGCTATAGGCATGCTGCTGAAAAACCCTGACTGGGAAACAAATGACACCGACCTCGAGGCACAAGTCCCAATCACGAGTACAAGAACTGAGTCGAGTCGCATGAAAATCATTGCAAGACTGCTCCGCCCACCCCTGAGCTGGAGCAACTGCAATAGGATCTGAAATAACATCTGGCTGAGGCCCCAACCCCGGGCCAAAACTGCGCGAATGCTGCACTAGCCGATCTAGGCAAAGCACGGTGCGCCCACCGACGTCCCAGCCGTGGACACGGAGGGGACGAGAAACCCCTGAGGGCACGGGGTCTCCACCAAGGTCTTCCCTCGCATCTTCCGCTGCGGCCCCGAACTGCCAACAACAAACTGCGGGGTCTCGGAATCGCCCTGCATGTGCATGTCCGAGGCCGGAGGCGCTGGTTCGGGGGCCTCGGGCGGCATGGGGGCGGGTGGGGGGAGGGTCATCTCCTCCAGGGCCGCCGCCAAAGCATCCCGCGGCATCTCCGACCCCGTGCGGATCTGCCGCGCAAGGTCGATCAGCGCGTCCTTCAGCCAACCTGGGGGCCCTCCCTCGGTCGGCGGCTGCTGAACCGTGTGAGCGTTCTTCGTGAGGGCCGACTCCAGCTCGAGGAGGTCCGCCTGGTAGGCCGTCAAAGCGGCCTGCTCCGCATCGATCCTCTCCTGAGCCGCCTTCATGTCCTCCTGGGCCTACTGGAGGCGCTTCTCCGTTCTCACGATGACCTGCCTGAGGCCATCGAGCTGCTGGCCTGGCGGCCGGGAAGCGTACAAGGACGCCTTCTTCTCCGCAATCTGCACGTCGATGACCTTCAGGGCTGGGCTGTTGATCATCGCGAGCGGGCCACGGGCCTTCATGAGGGCGGTGAGCTGGTCCCTGATCTGCTTCTGGGACGGCTCGGAATCCACCTCCACGTAGACCACCGCCGGAGGCTGATGAGGCAGGACCGGGCGTCGTTGGCAGAGAAGGGCCGCCCATTGATCCAGGCGCTGCCGACGACAAAAGTGGAGGCCATGCTGACGCTGCTTGCACATACGTCTTCGGGGCCTGGCACCACCGGCAGTGCTAGCACGTTGACCAGCACCGCGTGCCACAGAGCGCACAGCGCCATGAATATCCGCCACCTGCGCGAGCGCCACCGCCCCACCGGACGTTGGTGCGCTGGGAAGACAATCGCGCTGGCATGCCTCGAGAACCGTAGATTCCCAACAGTTCGACTGATGCGCGAATCCCTACCCTTCAATCCTGGGCGCTCTGCCTTGGCCGCCGCGCGCGCGTGGCCGCGACGCCAAGAAGTATGTTATTCCCAACCATCCTGTGATGTTGGGTCCTCGTTTCGAAGAGACGGTCCCCGCGTTCAATCCTCATCCTCCTCCCGCTGCCCCCCCTCCCCTCCATCCCCCCTCCTCCTGTCACCCCCCTCACTCTGGCACACCCCTCACACGTTTCGTGGCCCCACCGAAGGCCCCAGTGTGGGTGCCCGCATGCGTCCCCCCCACCCAGTACAACGTTTCGTGGCCCCATAGGGAGCTCCACCGAAGGCCCCACTGGGGGTGCCTGCATGCGCCCGACCCACCCAGTGCAGCGCTTCGTGGCCCCATAGGGAGCTCCACCGAAGGCCCGCCCCAGTGGGGGCTGCCCGCATGCGTCCCCCCACGCAGAACAGCGCTTCGTGGCCCCATGGGAAGCTCCATCGACAACCCCATTGGGGGTGCCCGCATGCGTCCGCCCCACCCAGTACAGCGCTTCGTTTCTCCACAGGGAGCTCCACCGAAGGCCCCAGTGGGACTGCCCGCATGCGCCAGCCCCACCAATTACAACGCTTTGTAGTCCCATAGGGAGCTCCACCGAAGGCCCGCCCCAGTGGGGCTGCCCGCGTGCGCCCGCCCCATCCATTAAAGCGCTTCGTGACCCCATAGGAAGCTCCACCGAGGGCCCCAGTGGGGTGCCCGCATGCGCCCCCCCCACCCAATACAGCGCTTCGTGGCCCCATAGGGAGCCCCACCGAAGGCCCCAGTGGGGGTGCCCCATGCGTCCGCCATACCCAGAACAGCGTTTCGTGGCCCCATAGGGAGCTCCACCGAAGGCCCCAGTGGGGGTGCCCGCATGCGTCCCCCCCATCCAGTACAACGTTTCGTGGCCCGAAAGGGAGCCTCACCGACGGCCCCAGTGCTACCGCCCGCATGCGCTCCCCCCCAGCCAGTACAGCGTTTCGTGGCCCCATAGGAAGCTCCACCGACGGTCCCAGTGCTACCGCCCGCATGCGCTCCCCCCCGCCCAGTGCAGCGCTTCGTGGCCCCATAGGGAGCGCCTCTGACGAAGATATTCACAATTCCGGAACTCACAACTGCATATGGTTGGGTCCTTCGCTAGAATATGTTTTCTTCTGGGGGTGGCAGGGCCGCTGGTGACGACCTCTGCCCGCTGCGACGCCACGGGGGGGGACCCTCCCTGGCAGCCTGAGCTCACCAGAGCTGTGGTGAGGCTTCGCCGTTCGGCCACTGTGTCATGGCTCTGGTCTTGCAGACGGACTATAATGAAACTATTTGTGGATTTCTGCTCAGGAAAAACCCCCAAAGCGAGCGAAAAACGCAAACTGACAACGAATCTCGAAATTCACAGCAAAATCTGGAACGAAATTCACAAGAACGTCTGAGGGCTCTTTCTTACTTTTCCAATCGACACCCGCTCCGCAAAATTGGCGACATGATCTGTGTGCTCCCTGGCCGTGGCTCAGCCCTGCCTTCCTGTCGTCGCCCGAGGCGCTCAGAGCCGCGTCTCACGGAGAGAGAACTTCGCAACAGCGGCCCCAGGGCCCGGGGAGACTGGGCCGCCGCGGAGGGGCAGACCGACCCCTCCATGCCCTGCGGCGCGACGACGGCGAAGGTGACGACGGCTGCGTCAAGGGGCGGCTCCGTGCGGGCCTGGTGCCAGACTCTCGTCCGCGACGCTGCTCAGGTCGTCGGAGGCCTCGGAGTCGGATTCCCAGTCCGACTCGTAGACTTCGTCGTCCTGGGGGGCTGTAAAAAAACAACGAACAGCGTAATGTTGGTTGCCAGTGTGGACACCAAACAGTGGACTGTTGCACTCTCGATGTTCAACTGCTGTGGTGCAGCGCGCATCGTTCACCATCTGTATTGCAATACATTTGCAGCAAGCGATGCGGTGCTATATGCGTGGCGGAGTGTATGGAGTGCAATTCACTTTGACCGTCTTGAAGCTGTCCTCTCTACTGCTCGTGCAAACATCCCACCCTCCCATCCGCAACTTGGTCGCAAGACTTCTCAAGACAAGACCGTGACGGTAGGTACCACATGGCACTTGGCCACGACACAGACGCCGACGACGACAGCGACAACTACGACGACGGCGCCGCAGACACCGACTACGACGACACCGCCGACGTCGACGAAGACGACGACGACGCCGAAGACGACGACGACGACGTCGCCAACGGGGACGACGACGAGGGAGGAGAAAAAACGACGACGGCGACAACGACGACCACGACGATGGAGGAGGGAAGACGGCGACGACGCGAACGACGAAGAAGGAGGAAGGACGGCGACGCCGACGACGACAACGACGAGGGAGGAGGGAAGACGACGACGACGACAACGACGACGACGACGACGGCGACGAAATAGGAGGGACAACGACGAGACGCCGACGACGGACGACGACGACGACGAGGGAGGAGGATAACGACCGAGGGAGGAGTGAACACGACGACGACGACGGCGACGAAATAGGAGGGACAACGACGAGACGCCGACGAAGACGACGAGGGAGGAAGGACGACCACGGCGACAACGACGACGGAAGCGACGACGACGCCAAGACGACGACGACGACGACGACGAGGAAAGACAGAAGACGACGACGACGACGACGACGATGACGACGAGGGAGGAGGGAGGAGGAGGAGGACGACGACGACGACGCAAGAGCGCGCGCGCACACGCTTTTGTTGAAAACCCGTGCTGCGAAACCTTGTGTTTTTGTAGGTTTTTTGGACACACGATTTTGGAATCCTTCCGAAACCGAAGGTTTTTGAAGGATTTCGGCATACGCGCGGGACTTCGCGCGCGTCTGCACTTCGTCTCATTTTTTGCAGAGGATTCTCGCGACGGCACACGCGCAAGGGCGTTCGACTGATTTCGACATGCGCGCGCGAAGCCCGTTTGGTATCATTTTGTGAAAATCTTGAAAAACCCATGGTTTTCTTAAGATTTCGCAAGAGCTCGCGCGTAAGCTTTTTTAGCAAATCGGTGTTGCGAAACCCTGTGTTGTTGTACGTTTTTCGGAAATTCAATTGTGAAATCTTTCCGGCACCGAAGGTTTTGAAGAATTTCGGCATGCGCGCGCGACGACGCGCGCGTGCGCACTTCGTCTGATTTTTTGCCAGGGATTAGCGAACAAGTCAAATGTTAGAGCACAAACTGTCACCGCATAGTGTTTTTTACAAGGGAACCTCAGGGGGGGAACCCACTTTGGCTGGGATGGGATGGTTTCATGTTTAGGATGGACGACTGTGCAGAATGTATATGGAATCGTAGTATCCCAGGGGGAACCGATAAGTCCGGGGGGGGGGGACGGGGGTAGAATCGATTACTCTTTTAGAAAGGAGAATATATTTAGCGATTCCTGCAGAGTTTGAGGACGCCACCGACATCAACACCAACGCTTGAATAAACAACCCACCCTGACACCAACAACTGGTTGATAAACCTACATGTTGCCATGACGCAAGGAACCTTCTCATACAGATCCATGGCCCGAGCGGACGAATGATGATGGTGACGACGACATCGGCGACGACGACGATGATGATGATCATGGTAATGGTGGTGGCGATGATGACGATGGCGGCGATAACGACGATGACGATTGATTACGACAAAGGTGGCGACCACAACGATTCTGATAATGACGATGGCGATGAAGATCACGATGAAGATAGTGAAGATGATGCTGGCGTTAAACGGTGTTTATGATGATAATGACCATGCTGATGCGGATGAGACACGCTGGTGGTGATGATTGAGGATGATGAAGAGCTGGGGGCGCGCTGGAAGCCGGAATGTATTCGAACTGGAGGGCCAACGGTGTGTCGTGTGATGCTGGAGAGCTCTACGTTGACATGTTTCGGGAAACCACGCATGTAGTTGTTCAATTCGACATGCGCGCATGGATGGCCATGTGTGGTCCGCATGGTCTCAACTGACAAACTTGTCGGGTGCTCGATGGTTGTTGAATGGTTTCGACATGCGCGCGCGCGTGGCCCACAAGGCCTCAGTTCGCCGAGTGGAGAACATCCATGGCCTTCACATGCATGCAGAAGTGCGCGCGCAGAAACCCTGCGTTCTCAATTCAGAGACACGAAGGGGCAACCGTTGTCCACGCACGTTGGAAGAGCTCGACCTTGGAAAGGTTCGGAAGCCATTCTGGTTTACACTTTTAATCTGCGAGCGCGGGGGCGCGCGCGGCCAACGTGGCACTGCTCTTTTAACGAGGGATGCTTTCAGAACGCACGTGTGGCGCGTGTGCCGCATGGTGTTGTCTGACAGAGACGATGAAAAGGGGAGTGTCGCAAGCGGGACTGCCTGGGACGGTTGACTGGGATATCTGGAGCAAGCGGACGCGCCGGAAAAATACGGCGAGAGCCCAGAGGCGCCAGCCTGCACACGGGGCGGGCACGGGCGGGAACTGAGCGAACTCCCAGCAGCGCCAGCCAATCACTGAGAACACGAGTCAGTAACCCATGGAACAAGCTGCAAGATGTCCTCGCGGACATATTGGGCCTGCGCTCGGCCCCCTTTCTCGCGGCTCGCGAAGCGCGCCAGACGGGGCCCTGCGCCGCCCCCCTGCTCGGGCGATCGAGATCTGATCTTCGCATGGACTCCGCAATTGCGAGTTTGCCGGCCCCCGCCTTCCATGGGTGAAAAGCCGTGTTAGATATTTGACAGCCCCCTATCCCCCTCGCCCTCTCCCCGAGAGTTTGAAAACGCGTCTGGGCGAGGAGGTGGGTGGGTGGACGAGATCCTCAACGCACCCCTGGAGCTCTCGCAATTGGAAAGTTACACTCCGTGAGTTTGAAAGGGGTCGGGGGGCCCAGCCGGCAGCTTCGCCTTAGGCCCTCGGCGAAGCCCAGCGCCAGCTCTGTTGCACCGTAGTAGCGATCGCCCCAGTAGTAGGAGTTCGTCGCGGTAGCGACGGGCCACCTCAAGCAAAAGGTGTTTTGGTCTCGATGGCAAATGGCACACCTCGCGACGAGGCGTAGTCAGACGTGGGCGGCCGGCCGCTTTGAGCCAAGCGGCCGCGGGCGCGCGCTCGTTCCACCCACCTGCATCCCCAGCTCACTTTAGAGTCGGGGGGGGGGCGTGAGCCCGCCGCCTCTACACAGCAGATACAGCAGCTACTATGTACAAAAAAGGCAGCAAACAGGCGGGGCCGTAAGGACGGTGGGCCCGCGCGCAAGTTGTCTTGCCTGCACTTTACTGTGCATGCGAGTGCTCTTCAGGCGGCTGCAGACCGAGATGTCTGGCCAACCCGATAAGGGGCATGGCGCTTTAAGTCGCGTTTGTAGGATTGCGTACCTCCCATGATATGTAGGAGCATTTTTCTGTCGATGCCCCCCCTTGTGTGACCGTCCGCGGTCATATCGCGGGCGTCACGCCAGTGAATGCTGCGCACGACTCCTCGCTCCATCATCTGTCGTATCCAGCTGATGCGCCCCAGAGGGGAACACTCAATCGGCTTCTTCAAGTCATTGTTTGACAAAGACTTTAAAAACAGACTCCGCATCTATGGTCACCCAACCCATGCGCGTCTTTCAACTGAGTGGGAGTTAAGCGGCCCCGCCACGCCGTAGCACGTTGTCCCCGCGAATACCATAACCAGTGACTTCGCCATCGGCATCTCCACTCAGGCGTCGATAACCTGAGTCGCTGTGCAGGTCAACTTCGCCCGTGAGAGTCATCGATTGGTAGGCGATCTTCTTGGGGCAGGCCTGCAATTTCCTGGCGATCGCGTTCAGTCGTCGCGCGTGTATGTCGGTCGGTTCTTGGACGCGTTGTGGAGAGACAACATATACCATCAACCACACCTGGGTGATTAATGCATCTGCCAATGCGCCTCTGAGGCTGACGAACACGTCTGCAACCACCTTGGATGAGCGGGCGTCAGCGTCGGCGCCTGTAAGTTTTAGGATGTCGTATAGGACGGAGCTGTCTGATGCATTCGCATCGGTCGAACGTAACACTGCCGCCCTCATCCTTGGGACATCTCGCCGCGCAATTGGTGCATGTGTGCCTGTTGACTTTGCACTTGCCAAAGGTGTCCTCCGCGCACTTGACGCACTTGTCAACGGTGTCCTCTGTGCCGGCCACATTGCTGCCATCGACATGTTTGGCTGCGAGCAGGTAGCTGCTCGTCTCGAACTCCTCGTCGCAGGACGTGGGTCTGAAACCGAAGCTTATTGTGGCCCTTCTGAGCTTTGGTGAGGAAGCTCGAGGTGCGCCCCTGGTGCCAGTGCCTGGCTTGAGGCACTGCAAGCAGTGCTTCGACTCGTCGTAGTGCTCGAATCCTTCGAAGCACCGTAGTCGATCCAGGCGGCAGAGTAAAGCGCGCCACACGTTCTTTCTCACCAGTTGCCCCAGCAAGTCCCTGGTAGGTCAACCCTTTCAGGAGGGCCATGTTGATGTCGAGGGAAGCAATGATCCATTGCTTCTTGCACGCTGCCGCGCTTACGGGCAACCTCTGGCTCGACCACCGCGCCGTTCCTGAGAAGGCTTCCGCGTCGAAGGCTTCGAGGTCCATGGGGCCCCGAAGCGCCAGGCGTCATCTGCTGGCGCGTTCCATCTCGCCCTTCTCGCCCTGCGCGAACTCCCATGCGCGCGCGCACCTAGAAGTCCTGATGTTTGACGCCTTATATATATATATATATATATATATATATATATATATATATATATTGCATTTTGAGACACTTGTTGTTAAACCATTTATTGAGTTCAGTGCATTGGGCTTTCGATGCTCTTTCGGGATTCGCCTGGGCGTTAGCCTTCGCGAGGAGGTCGTCTCCCTTGACGACCGCAGCTCGCTTCGCAGCGGCGTCAATATATACCCGCATGGTGGTGACACGGTCGGCCTCTAATATCCTGCGCCGTTGGTAGGATAAGACTACCTTTGACATTCCTGCCGTAAAACAGAGTTCTACATATTATCCGTTTTCGCCTGAGTCCAGTCCGTGACTGCAATCTTCGACCGTGGAGCACAGCGGGACATGATACGTCTCCTCGATGTCGGAGTCGTGTGGGCGCCCCCACTCAAGCAGGTGTCCCCGCTGTTCTTCAGCTACGGTGATCAGCGCACTGTTGTCTGGAATCATTTGTGCGGGTGCTGTGAAAAGGTCCTCTAGTGGAGTTGCCTCCAGTAGTCCCCGTTCATCGCGTAGTTCTTTCTGCCACACTTCCATAATATGTGCCTCGAGGTCCGCCTCCGATTCCTCATATATCGTGGGAAGCCGCCCATCCTCCTGTGGTAGTTCGGCTTCTGGGGCTTCTCTTGCGGTTCCGTCCAATGTCGGTATATCCGACAATTCCTCAAGCTTTGTCATGTCCTGGTCAAAGCCCGACTGAGGTTTGGTGGACTTCAGGCACTGAATGATTCTTGAATGTGCTGATCCAGTTATATCATGAATGTTAAGAGCGGTGCCTTCTGCTTCATAGTAATGAAATCCTGGATTCACATCGCTGTCGTAATGGACCAACGTGCAACTGTCAGCGCAGGCCACCGGAGGTAGCTTGTGGATACTCTGGGCTAACCCAACAGATCCTACATTCTCGATGCGGAAGAAGTGTCTGATAAGGTATTTTAAAGCCAGATGCACCTTAGGCGATAGTCGGCTTGCACTTGTCATCTGAAGCGTCCCTTTCTTGGCCAGGAAATAGCCACATGTCATAGCAGGTCCCCCCCGCAGGTAGACTGGCCACGAACATCAACACTGTCCGTAGTGCAGAGTCAAACTTCTCTGGCTATCAAAGTTTCAATGTACAATGAAGAAAAATCCCATTTGAATAGCTGGGTGGACTTCAGAAATGTAGTAGCGCAGGGATGTAAGACGCGAGTAAGAGGCCTCTGCGTAAGCATAGGTATCACTGCAAGAATCCTTGGTATGTTGCGTAGTTATATACGTTCCTCCGCGCAAACCCACTGCACCCTGATGTTCCACCACGTCAGTAGTCCACCAGATAACGCCGTGGATGGTGAGGAATAGAGCAAGAGCTGACCACCATAGGCCAACTCCGCTACCAAGTTTGAAAGGGGTTGGGAAGCCCAATCAGCAGCTTCGCCTGAGGCGAAGCCCTGCTCCAGCTCTGTTGTACCGCAGTGACGGCAGTCCCAGTAGTAGATCCTCGCGGGAGCGACGAGCCATCTCAAGCAAATGGTGTTTTGGTCTCGATGGCAAATGGTACACCTCGCGATGAGGTGTCGTCAGATCTGGGTGGCCGGCCGCTTTGAGCCAAGCGGCCGCGGGCACACGTTCGTTCAACTCACCTGTATCCCCAGCTCACCTTAGAGTCCGTGGCCTCCACGATGGCCAACATGCCATCTAAACTGGTTCAAAATGGGCTCCACACGCCGTGGAATAAGATGGCACGGAGGCCCAGCAGGCCTACAAGAGGCCCCAAGACAGCTCAAAGAGGACCCCCCCAGCAGGGCACCGATAGGCAACAACCATCCCAATAGCAAACGGGAAGGTCTTCTCATTTGTATATTCGCCATTTTGGCCTGAACGGCGTCTGAGAGTGTCAAGAGGTTCCTAAGATCGCTCAAAGACGACCCAAGAAGCCCGCAAGAGGGTCCCAAGACGGTCCAGGAGATTCCCAAGACGGCCCAAGAAGCGCCCAAGTCGACCCAAGAAGGCACCAACATGGCCTCAAGAGGGGTAATTCGAACTGACGTTGCGAGTCCTCTTTGGACGCCCGAGATGGGTACGGACAGAAATGCGTACAATGCTCAACAACTAACACATGATGTCCCAAACCAACAGCGGCCGCTGTTGAACAGGCGGTCTTCTGTCTCAAATGGGCACGGGCCGCGGCGGCGCGGACAGCGAGCCCTGTTCAAAATGAATAAGAACTACTGTTGGGCATTGTACCCACCCCAAGAAAACCCCCCAGACCGCCAACAGGCAACAGGCGCCCAAGAACCCGCAACAGGCTCCAAGAGGCCCTCAAGAAACACAAAACAGACACCCAAACGGTCCCCAAGAGCCCACAAGATATCCAAAAAGGCTCCCCAACGGTCCCCAAGAGACCTCCAAACTGCCTCCAAAAAACTCCCTAGGAGGCCTGTTTGGAGAAATGGCCGACAAGCTTGCCCTCGCGCCTTGCCACGCCGTCAACACTCTGCAACAGACCCCGCCCAGCACCGACGGCCCCAAAGGACCCAAGATGGGCCCATGTAGTCAGCCTCGAGCGATCAGGGTGGTGTCCGCGAACGTCGCTAACTATCCCTTCCGTGGGTCGGCTGAATGGCGTAAGCCTCTTGAATACACCTGCCAACCAGGCTGAAGAGCGTGCTTTGCAAAATGAAACTTCAAACTGAATTTTGGGCGCGCTCCGGGGTCAATTTTAAAAGATGCTGGGCCCAACTTGGCGCCCAAAACGAAGCCCTAACCGGCTCCGAACCGGATGGCGTTCGGACGGGTTTGCGGCCCAACGCGGGAATGCTCCCGCGTGGGCCGACCAGTAGCACCACTTAGACGCCGCGTGCTCTTCAAAGCCCCCTTTTGGGCCCTTCTCGGGGCCCTCTCTGGCTCTCGTGGGCGCCTTTTGGGCCGCTTTCGGGCCGTCTATGGCTGGTCTCGGGCAACGTTCCATCCGTCTCTGCCTTCCTGCTGTGGATAAAGAACACGGGCTTCAGAGTGCCAGCGTCCATGCCACTGATCCGTGGATAATGATTAAGGGCCGACGAACAATCGGCGAATTCATCATCCATCAGCCACACGGCATATCTGAACTCAGCCTGACATGGGATGAAAACACACGTGTAGGGGGAGTCTTTTTGGTATTTTCTGAACATTGTCTCGTCTTGGCGACGTCTGCGTCTCGTCCGTCGAGAATCGGAATGGGTGGACGGTGGACGCGAAGCGTCTTGAATAAAAGTGAAGGGCGGGGGCGTCGTGGACTGTTTGCGAAGCTCGAAACCAATGTGAAGCAGCCCGCCGCAGGCGCAGACGTGGACATATTACATATCGAGCCCGCTGATGTCAGAACACTGCAACGCGTTTTTTTTATTCGCGGCGATAACAGGCGTTATGGGGGGAGGGGGCATACCGTAACGTCCCCCCCTCCGCCATGTGGTTCCGGCACCACAGCAGCGTCCAGGCGCTCGACGTCGATGAGCGACGCGCGACGCGCGACGACGACGACGATGGCGACGACGACGACGACGCCGTGCTGTCCCGGCGCCACCACAGCTCCCGCGCGCACATCAACTTTGTTGCGAGGTTCGGACGTTGTACATGATGCTGACAGGAGTAATAGAGGCAAGGACGGAATGAATAGCAATGGGGACAAGTGTGAAGGGAGGCACAATGGTAGCGCTTCCGTGTGCACCACAATGCCAGTGCGCACGAGCCACGACTAGGTGCCACGAGCCACGACCACTTCAACACCATCTGTGCGCACCACAGTGCCCGTGCGCACCGCAAGGCCTGTGTGCAACTCTGGGACCCTGTGGGGTCCCGACGGGGCCAAATACCAGAAAATCATGGGGGCGGCCGAACTTATCAATTTCAATATGTGCAATTCGACACCGCTGCAATTCGATTACAGAAACATCTTCCTCCAAGACGGGAAGTCTCCGGGGCATCCATCTGATGAACCTTATGTATAAAAGTCCCGGCAAGTCTCGAGAGTTTGCCAGGGAGCCTCTGGGGGCCGAAAGACATGCAAAAACGCTGCTATTTGAGATCCTCCCCCTCGTCCTACTCAACCCTCATCCCCATGTACCCTCCGCTCATATGTCCATCCGCCAACACCCCCGCCTATCCACGACGTTCCTTCTTGGTTTCGCAGCTGCTTCTGCTGCTTCTGCTGCTGCTGCTGCTCCACTTCATCCGCATCTTTCTCCCTCCCTTCCTCCTACCCGCACCTCTTCATTCCCACCATCTCCTCCTCTTGCTCCCTCCCCTAACCTCTCCTTTCGCACCACCCCTGCCATTTGGGCCCCCTCCTCGGCGCCATCGACAGAGGGAGGGAGCACAGGAAGGAGAAAGAGGTGCAGGAGGAGGGAGCAGCAAACGAGGCGAGAAGAAGGCCGACGATGAGGAGGTGGAATTAGCAGCAGTGGTGGACGGGAAAGTGGAGGAAGAGATGGAGGACGACGTTGGGGGGGGGGCAGAAGACGCGCGAGAGGAGCGAAAGAACCAGGGGGAGAAGACGATGAAGACGACGACGACGACAGCAACGACCGCGACGACAACGACGACAACGACGACGACGCCGACGACGACAAAGACAACGACAACGACGACGCGGCGTCCTCGCCGCCCGTGGCTTCCGCGTCCGTGGTGTCCGCATCCGTGAATCCAGCGTCCTGCTGGGGCGGGGGGGGGAGCAGCCCGATAGGGCGCTGGTTCTTGCTTAGAGCCAGGGGTCGCCAGAGGTGTCCCTAGCCCAATGTGCGTCCAGTTTCTCGCTCAGTTTTGGAGCCACAGGGGCCTTGAGGGCCTCCATGGAAATCTTGGGGGCACTTTGAGACAGGGGCACGTCTAGCAACACCTGAGCTTAAATTGGAGATAAGAGAATGTGAAGCTATGAGCATGGACTTCACTCCGAGCGATGCTGTTGAATTTTGCTGAAAGGAAAGGCTATTCAAAAACAACGCCCAGGAGCCAGTCACACATTATGATTTGTTCAAACGAATCATGGAGTCCATGGAATTGAAAGTTTGTTCCTGGAGATTTCTGATGACAAAGGGGGGGCGATGAATGGGGGGCGGAGAAGTTTTTTTTTTTTTTTCAGCTCTGAGGGCCGGAAATTGATTTTTCCCCCGGAACATCACCAGGACAAACATCCGCTGCCCTTCAGGACTGGGGGGGGCGGCGAAACGTGCACCTCTCGTGCCGTCCCATCGTTTCCAGCTATATCGGCCAGCCGCGCACCGGAAATCATTATTGTCTATAGGGTCACTCTTCCGTGCGTCTGGTGCATGAAGGAACGAAGAATGGGGCAATGGTCGAGTCGGGTGTGGGGAATGGGGAAAAACGCTGTCACCCCCAAAGGCCCCGGGATGCCCCCAGGGGCCCAAAGAGGAGCAGGTACGTCCCACGAAAGTAAAGCCTCGAGGAGGTTGGGAGGAAGAAGAACAGGAGGAGGAGGAGGAGGAGGACGAAGAGGACAGAACAAGACAGGACATCCGCATAAGGGGGTCAGCGTCGTCGACACCTACAAAAGAGCTGTGAGCGTGACAAGCAAAATCCCGTGCGATTAGATTACGCCGCGAACCCAGACACTGGGGGCCGGCAGGGGGCGCACCCCGAAGCTTCAAGGGATGAGCTCCGAACGCTACCTTGTGAATGCGAGTCCCTACGGGCCAGTGTTGGCCCTCTCGCGTGCCCGTGACGACGGGGGCGCGCTGGGCGAGCAAGGCGCCCAAGCAGGGGGTAGGACGACGACGCGACCTCAACCGACGCAAGGGGAAGAGGAGGGGATGCAGGAGGCCCTTTCGTGCCAAGTTTTGCTGGGGGGGCCTAGTTACGTTCTGCCCACGACTTGCGGCGTCCACTCTCTTAACAGAGCCCCTCCATTTTTAGGCTCGCTTCTCTTCCTGGACGAGCTGGCCTTTGGTCGACACGTGCAATGTCGTGTCTGACTCATTCCTGTGGCGCAGCACTATGTACCCAAATTCTCTGTAGTAGCATTCCAAGTTTACCTCGATGTACCCCCTCGGTTCGGCGCGTAAGTAGGGGCGAGCATACCTGTTATTGCCACGGCGTGTAAAAGGCTTTGTTTCCCCCCAGTCTGTCCGCAATCCGTATCACTGTTGATTCGAATGGGGAAGGCCCTTAGGGATGTGCTCGAATGGCCTCCGTGGTAGTCTCGTTTTCCACTCGTCGCCCCCTGCGGGAGCGCACCTTTCGGCACTCCAAAACAAATTCAAAGACGCCATCCTGCGCGAGCTCTCTCCTAAAGGTCCTCACGCCGAGATGCCCCCGCTAACGATGCCCGTCCTGCCCGCCTGAACTCGCGCTCCGAGATATCTCCGCTCGTGCTCTTCCGGGCGTTGCAAGCGGGCTCTCTCGCGCGCGGCCGCTGGAGCTAGCCGCGACACCTGACTCGGCGTGCCTCTCGAAGACCTCTGTGCCTGCCGTCCAACGGCTTCGTGCTGTCGCGGAGCGCCTGGCGTTTCTTGAGCCTCTCGACCTCCTCCTGATCGAGATTCGTCTCACTCTTCAGCTCCGTCATGGCTGCCTCCATGACACTCTGCAGGCACCCCGCGTCGGTTTTCGATATCAGCGGCGCCAGCTCGCATCAGCTGCGCGTCGAGAAGAACCTCCTTCCTGCTGTTTCCCACATGTCCACTGGGTACTTTGCGATCAGCGCGCAGCCCCTGACCTGGTGCGTCATCGGGCAGGACGGTGGGATCAGCTCGAACAATTCCTCTGGGCTCATCTTCTGGGCCGCGTCGTAGAGCTTGCAGCGGTTCCTTTTGATGGCGTCGTCTATATTCCACGGCAGTCTCCCGACTAGAAACGCTTCCCAGTTGCCCCCTACTTTGAGCTCCACCACCATAGATGCCCCACGCTTGCACGGGCGGAACCTCGCAGTGCATCCAATATCGGGATATCGGGTCACTTCTCCAAGTAGCTCGCTGTAGTCCTTCTTCATCTTGTCCACCCACTCTTTCATGAACTCTTTCATGAGTCTGCTGCGTCGTCGCAAGCTCCTCCCAGCCCACATTGCGCCAGAACTTCCACTGGTCCCCCCTCGAATCGGGGCCGGGGCCTTTCCGCCGCCGCTTGTTGGGGAAGGCCGGCCCGCGCGAGCAGGCGCAACCCCTCTCTGCGTCCCATCCTGCGTTCCTCATTCGCGCGTTGAACAGCTGCATATTGTCGCTCCACGCGTCCACGAAGTCGAGCGCCTTGAGGTGCTGGGTTTGCTTCGCCCTCATCTTCCTTGCCGTCATGTAGTCGCCGAGCTCATGCAGCTCCTCCTTTCTGGCTCCTGATTGGCTGTCTTCGCCGCCCCCTCGTCAGTCACGTCCATGGCCGTGTACTTGTTCAGCGTGATGCCGCGATCTTGCGCGCGTCGCAGTGCCTCCACCATGTGCTCTCCTGCTTTGCTGAAGGCTGAGAAGATACCCCCGTTCTTCTTGATGCCCTCCAACAATGCCATTGACATCTCCTTGAACCGCTCAATGACCTCCCTGATCATCTGGTTGCGCGGCTCTTTCTTTGGTCCTTCATCAGCTTCGATAGCCGCCTTCGCTGCCTTGATCTGCCAAGGATTGAGCTCCCCGCGCGATGCCTTTGTCTTTCCTCTTCTGCTCGCGGCACACTTGTTCATTCGCGATGCACTGGTCTCCTCCATGGCGAAGTTCCTCCTCGGCACCCCGCTCGATCCACTCCTCCTGCCCGGGTGCCAACTCGCAGTCGCTGCGCGCCCTCTTCCACTGACTTCCTTCTCCACCTTTGTTTTTTGTTTCATGTCCTGGTTCGTTGCTGGCGTGCTCCCTGCGACTCTCGATCATCCTGTAGCACCCGAACCCCTCGCCGAATCGGACACATGGCCAAAGCTCGTCGCTGCCGGCGAAGGCCACGGGCAGCCTTCTGCGCCCTGCAGTTCGAGATGCCCCCGTTAGTGCCAGTGAGCGCCTGGGCCGGTGTTGAGGCGGAGGGGCCGTGGGGGCCGATGGCGATCGATGGGGGCAGATGGGCTGTGTCCAGTGGCCCCCAAGGATAACTCAAAATACGCTGGAATCGGGGCCCACTCTTTAACCGCGCCCACCGCCCCGCTGACCGTGACTCATCGCTACATTGTGCATTTGATGCCTGCCAAATATGTAAACGCACCCAGGCGCGCCGCACCCCCGCAACTGTAAAGGAGCTTTTTTTGGGGGGGGGGCAAGGGAGACATTGGAAAATGTCGTGTCGTCACAAATGAAAACGCAGGCTACTGACTGGGGCGGGAGAACTGGTTGTTGCCTGGGAAACATCATCCCAGCTGCCTGGGGGGCCTCTTCCCAAAGCGTTTCTCTGCAACTCCGCCCCCCGCTCAGCTCGACACTTGACGGCCATGGGGTATACCTTGCCATTTGGGGACGTGGGTCTGAGCTTGGTGAGGCGCTCAACATCCTTGCTGTTTGCCTCCGCTATCGTGTCCTCGTCTGAAAGATGCCGTTTCGCTTCTTTGTTGTTGGACACCCCTGCTAAGCTCATCTGTCCTGGGGGGGGGGCCTCTCAAGGGGCGGCGTCCACTGAACTCAAAGCTGATGCCTTCGGAGAAGTGGCCGTGCAAGTGCTCGTCCGCGTCGGCCGCGGCCCGGCAATCTACCCCGGGGTTTTTGCGCTCCGAGATACCCCCACCAATGCAACCGCCCCCTCCTCTCTCAGCGACCCCGGCCCTGGACTTCTCGTTCCGCCACCCTCTCCAACGCCGTCTTGGGCGCCGCCGACTGGACTTCTTGCCGCCCACGCGCGCGATCAGCATCCCCGCTGCTTTCTTCAGGCTCTGGCCCGAGAACTTGCCCAGCTTCGCCGTGGTCTCCTCGCTCGTGTCCTTCGGGGGCGCCGCTCGGAAATTGGGGGGGGGGGGGGGGGGGATGCAAATCTGAATATTGCCCGTGCCCTCCTCGCAGAACTGCTGCTCGTCCTCGTTCGGGTTCCTGGTCTTGCTGTTGCGGGCCTTGTAGCTCTCGCTGACCTTGCGCGGCTGATCGTCTCGGTGACCCTGGCTTGGCTGTCGGCGTTGTTGCCCCCCCACCAGCACCAGTAATTCGTTCAGCGCGCCCATCGCCCAGCCCATCGATGCTGCCACTGATGTGGCACCGTCTGTCTGCCATTCCGTCGCTGTCTCTTGGATGCCACCCATGAGCGCCAGTCCTACGTGGGTCCCTGGTGGCCCGAGCAGGTGCCCCTTGCCCATCTCTCTGACTGGGTTCCCGTCGCAGCGGCCCGCTGCCATCGAAACCGAAACGCCAAATCGCTGACTGGCACGAGGTAGAAGTCCGCGGCCAAGTGGCCCATCTCTCTCATCTCTGCCGCTGAGCGCGGGGCCGGGCGCTGAAGTCCGCCGATGCATCCTCTGAGGTCGAGCTCCTCGTAGTCTTCCGTTGCTTGGGGTTCCTGGCGGGGGAGGGGGGGCCCGCGCCCCCCCCCCCCCCTCGCCCTTGCCCCCCCCTCCCGCTGCCGCTGCCGCGGCCGAGGGTGCGCCTCCTGCTGCCTCGGCGCTGGCCGCGCCCATCGCCCGATGGCCCTTGCATGCCCCCCCCCCCTTGCCGCCCTTGCGGCGCCTCGCCCCCCCCCCCCCCCCCTCTCCCCCCCCCTCAATCCCCGCGTCGGCCCCTCATTCGGGAGGGAGGGGGTCATCGCCAGG